TCATATACATAGTTTAAATTTGTCATTAGGCTATAGGTTATGCTTCTAATTTCTATTTTTAGGATATATTGCTTTAGGTTATATTGCCATGAGATGGAGAATTATATTGTAATTTCTCATTATTTAATATATTTCCCCATTTCCTATAAAAAAAATAAAAAAAATATATAAAGTGAATTTCATATTATAGAACACATCAATAATTAATAATTAATTTAAAATATTTTATTATTTAATTAGCGAAACAAAATAAAAAGATTCTTTTAAAATGGACTAATGCCACTAAAAATCCTTTAAGCATATAAAAGAAAAGGAAAAAAAATCAAAACATTTTGACATTTTTTTTTTTTATTAAGGCAAGTGGTTCGGGGTGAGAGGGGGTGGGAAGGAGATTGAACCCTTGTCATGGTGAATAAAGTTTACATTAAACTATTAAATCATTAGATCGATAGGTCTTCTTTTTAACATTAAAAATATTAAAATATCTAATATAATCACATAATAAATTTAATAAAACTAAAATTTATATTATACTTCACACATTTATTTGTTATGATTGGACGTACTTACTTTTTTTAATGACAAAATGTACTGATTTTCCCATTTCTCTAAAAGAGGCATTCTCACATTTTTACTTTTAAATAAATCATAAAAATCCTTGTAATTCGGTTAAAGAGCCGCGCATCATTCTTGCATCCACTAACATTATGACACCCTGAATATATTCTTTGAAATCCTTCCAATTTTAATGGTAAAATGACATTATTGGTCCCTCACTTTTTAGTTCTTATCCACATTCTCCATAGCTTCATCACTTTTGTTGCAACACTTCATAGGATTTTCAATCGGATATCAAAGATATTTTTGGAACAAGTAGATATCAAAAATTTGATTTTACATTTTAATTATATGAATTATATATATAAAAAAAGTATTATGTAATTCAAATTATATCAGACTGGATTAGACTGCACAACACTAACTATTGGATAAGAGTTGACCCTGTTGATATTGTGGGCCTTTTCCTCATTTAATGATCCATGTTTTACAAGATCAAACTGTAAAACATGGTTCCCTTTATATATTTTAATTTATTATTTCAAATTTGATTTAATTGATATTTGGATGATTTGAATACTTAATATGATTTTATTGAACATCATAGATTTTTACCATCTGTGCAAAAAGAATTGAAATGCAAATTCAAATATTTAAGTGCATCTCTTTTAAAAGTTTATGAACTAAATTATAATTAAAAAAGTTGAAATCAGGGGTTAATTGAATAAACTGAAGTTTAAGGATCAAAGTGCACAAGAACTCAAAGTTAAGAGACAAGCTGATGCAATTTTATCATTAAAATTTAGAGAATTTAAACAACGGCGTTATGACGAGGGAAGATGCTTGGCCCTTTCTAATAAGTTCAGGGATACTTAAGACTTGTTTTAAAGTAGAAGGATGACCATAATTCTTTATGTAAAGTTTAGGGATTTTTAGTGACATTGAGCCTTTTAAAATTAGTTTACTGATTTTCACCCTCATTCAATAAGTTAAGAAAGAAATTTATTGTAGGGGATAGAGCACTTATCCTTTCATTATATTCTT